TAGCCTTTTAAAAAGCAAAAAAAGAAACAAGGCAAAAAAAAAAAAAGCACTAGATTTACATCCTGCAAACAGTTGCTAACATATGGAATTTCAACTTCTAAAAAATGTGCACTTTCCATGCTTTGTTCTCTCTAAACAATACCAAAGCAGTGAATAAGACCTTTCTTCAGATATCTGTAGCTTCTTTATCCTTTGATAATCTCCTTAGAGTATCTGAAGATAGAAAAAGGACAAATTGACCTGTAGAGTCTTTTGCCTTCACTCTAAACATACTTACTGTGCTGTTACTTTTCTAGATGCTGAAGGCTTGGTAATGAAAAGGAGAGATGAGGCCCATATCCTGAAGGAACTTGTATTTGACATGGAGGAAACACGATCAAGAAGGAAGAAAACAAACACTTAAGGTATCACAGAGTCGCATGTGTCCTGAAGAAAACTACAGATAAGTCCCTGAGAGACAGTGGTCCATCAAGAGATGAAGTGTGTGAGTGGGAGTGAAAGAGACACATGCAGACAACTAAGTCTCAGGCTAGGTGTGAGCAAAAGCACTTCACTTCTGAAAAGGTAGTATATGAACTGAGACTTAATAATAGAAGGATCCAGCCCTGTGTATACTAAGTGCAAAGGCCCAGAAGCAGAGTGGGAAGCTGGGGCCCAAGACTGATAGGAGTTAAGTTCTGGGGTTAGAAGAGTTCACAGCGATTGATCAGAAGGTAGCTAGCCAAGGTAAGGAGGCAGAAGGAGCTCTAGAGGCAATGAAGAGTCATAAAAGTTTTCCAAGTGTGATGATGCTGGTTCTTTTATATTTTAAAAAATCCTGCTTTTGCTGCTCTGAGTAGTAAAATGGACTACAGGGGGCCAAGGGAGGAAGCAGCATCTATTCAGGAATTTGTGTAAACACAGTCTAATGATACAATGAGGATAGCTAAAGCAGGTGCAGTCAAGTCAGAAGAAAAAAAAAAAGGATTCAGGATACCTTCTGGATGGATGTTTAACAAAAATTTTTGAAGGATTGAACATGAGGAATGAGTAAAAGGAAGGAAGCAAGAATGATACCAAGTGTTGTCCCAGAAAACTGGTTAGATGATGGAGTGACATTGAAGAAACTAAACAAGAAAGAGAGTTGTGGACCCGGGTATATATTCCTAATTTTGACATAATTAGTTTGAGATGCATATTACATATCCAATGAAGACAATGACTGGATTCATGGAGAAGTCAGGGAGAGTTAAATTTGTGAGTAACTCACATATTCATGGTATATAAAGCTACAGAACTAGATAAGATCAGCACAAATGGGGAATGAGGTAGAGAAAGTGGAGAGGCTGAGGGGGTAAGGGAATGAGGCAGGAATGGGGAGAAAAGAAGAGAGAGAGACAGACAGAGAGAGAGAGAGAGAAAGCACCCAGAAACATTTATAGGTTGAGAAATCAAGGGGATTAAGCAAAAAGCACTAAGGAGGAGTGGCCAGTGAAGTAGAGGGAAAATGCAAATTTTGCTGTTTTATGCACCTTGACAGATAACACTCTCACAATAACCAAAATGTAGTGCTGCCTGGCATTTTTTTACCTACATCATTACTAGTATAGTCTGTTCATTGACTTAAACCATAAAACTAGTTGCTAGCTGATTGAGGTTGGATGTAAACAATAATTCTCTAAAACAATTTGTACCATGTTTTGATTGAACAACAAAATCAAGGAAGGCCATCTCCTAAGCACACCTTCTTGCAGGTTATCGACCACTGCATACATCTGTGTAGAATCACAACATAACAAGCCATGAAACTGATCTTCCTGTTTCACCGTTGCAACCACTGGCTTGCTGTTGCTATGCTCCATAAGTCTTCCCTGTTATCATATCCGACATTATGCTTTATGATAAATACATCTGAGATAAATTTCCGTCACTGTTTTATTGTGGCATTATACAATCTTGCAAAGTTCTGATATATATATTTCTCATATTTTCATTTTATTTCACTAACTAAAACAGCAGACTTTGCCATGGCTTTGCAACTTGTTGTATATTCCTTCTTCAAAATTCTGATGACTATTAATCAATACTTATTTCAGTTTCTGAGCCACATTAATTTTAGCTTCTCTCTATGTCACTATTCATCGTGATTTCATAAACTAAACTTATTATTTTGCATCTTGTGTGATTTACCTCGAACTACCCAGTCTTGTTTATTTTCGTCATCTTCTAATAGATGCTGAACATATTAGGGGAAGAGCTGTGACTTACTAATTTTTACATTCCTTATTTCTAGCAGAGTGCTAGTACAAAGTGCATGGTCAACAGATGTTGAGTGAATGAATGAAGTAATCTACTAAAGTGATTCAAAGTGTCCTTTTTCAGTTTGACAAAAATGATAAAGATATCAAAGGACTGCTTTATTATATTCTAAATTGGACACTTAGGAGAAATGTTCCTGTTGCTGAGATTCTTAAGTCCCCCGAATGTTCTTTTCTCCTTTTCATTTCAATTTGTAATTTTCGTCATTATGCTAGTATAATAACAAACCATTCTGAATGAAAACTGCTATTCAATTGCCCTATGAATTTTTTTCTGTCCTTAGGAACTAGCAATATGGTTAAACTCAATAGTAATATTAAATGTTGTAAAAAGACATTGAAGATCTGATACTATTTTTACTGGTTAATTTAATTACTATTTAAACAGTGAATTCACCTTTTTAAATCAACCAAACTCAGTTGAAACAGTTAAATATTAGACCTAAATTTTTTTTCTAGAAAAAATTATAAATGAGTTTGAGAGTTTCAGTCATTGTCTAATGAATAGACCAGAAATCTGAAGGGTGCAGAATACTTAACTGGAGGAAAGATACTGTCTGTTTGTAGACTATCAAGATTTTTTTCCAGGGGAAATGCTAAGGCTACAGGGCTCTGCCTTTTCTGTAAAAGTCATATCAAACAGAATACATGGAAATTAGGTCCTGCATTCTCTGGAATTAAGTCGGCTAAAGGTCTTAGGATCTCAGATCGAATAGGGACTTGCAAAATAATAACAAGCAAATTAATATGTGAGCTAGGATTTGAATCTGAGAAATATTAGTTTCTGGTCTCACATGATCTTCACCACATAATTTATATTGGATACATCATAGCTTGCTTCATGGTCAATACACACAATATAAAAAGAAAGGAAAATTTAGAAAATAATTCTATGTATTTATTCATGGGCCTTACCTATGAATATAGAGATTTTTTAACCTCTTGATGCTGACTTAGTCAACAACTTATCCTTACTTTCCTCTCAGTATATTTTTCCATTTACATAATGCTCTAGCTTCTATTTTATTTACTGTTAAAATAGAATTTTATTAAGAATCATGGATGGAACTGGAGAGCATTATGCTAAGTGAAATGAGCCACTTGGAGAAAGATAAATATCACATGATCTCACTCATATGTGGGATATAATGATCAACATCATTTGATGAATAAGAATAGATCCAGAGACAAATGGCAGGGGAGGGGTGTTAGAGAGCAGCCAAAGAACTTGTATGCATGCATATTAGCATAACCAATGGACACAGACACTGGAGTGGAAAGGGCTTGCCTGGGTGGGAATGGCTAGGGTGGTGAGGGACAGGGGTCAAGGGGAAAAGGAGACAAATGTAAAACTTTAGACAATAAATATATAAATAGAGGATAAATGTAGCTAAATTCCAAATAACATTCTCTTCTTGAGTTACAATTAGGTCGTATTAAAATGAAGATTTAATTCATAGCTCCTAACAAACTATTAAAAAACAGTATAATTGCTACAATTCCTTAACTTGAAATTGTTTACTAATTACATTATTGAATTCACTGTATGATAATATTGAAAGTTTATCTCTACTGCAAAGAATAATACCATTTAGCAGAATTCATTTTAAACAGAATATCTCCAGAGGCAGGACATAAAGATACAACTAAATAAAGAAAAATAGCACTTGTAAACGTGTCACTATATTCCAATATTTGACATTATCCAGACATAATTTTTTAGGTATAATAAATTCACTCTTCAGATTAAATAGTTTACTTATCATGGTATTGTACAGATTTCACCTAGATGTGGAAAATGTAGTATCCATGTTTAAAACAACTAATTTCTAGAGTCCTATATCTATAGAAGTGTTGAAATTAAATTACAGCTCCAGAAGCATAAGTGCTTAATGAGAAACAAAGCTACGTTCTTTCATATATGGAAAAATACTGGGACCAGTGAACACTTATTGGCAGCCTTTCATGGTGGGAAATAGAAAATTGCAACAAAAGAACACTGTTGACCTTGACTGTACATGTTTTCACTTCACTAGGAATTCCCAGCTATTAAAGGTGATGATCCTTCTTATGGTCACATATGTTGTAGCCAAGACTATCCTGAATTATGAATGAGTTCTATGTACCACAAAGCAGTATTTAAGAAAAACTGATCATTAACTCAATATTTAACTTTAAACAAACATATTTTATGCATTTTTATTGTTTTTTAATGGCCAAATTTATTAGTTTCTTATAGTCAATATAAATAAAGAGAAATTATCAAAATGTAAACTGGTTTTATTCATAGAAAACATGTATATTCATGAATTCATTAATACTGGCACCTTGGAAGTAAAATCCTGCCATTTGAAAAAACACCATATATGCTTCTTAAAATATTTTTTGAGTCTTAGAAACAAAGAAAACATTGCTGAATTTCATTGAGGTTATTAAACATATTTTCCTCTATGAAAAAGACAGACTGAAAATATGACAAGTTATATGTGATCACAAATTATATGGTGTGATTGACTGTTAATCATGTTACTTGTGGTCATTATTTAATAACTTTAATACTCAAAGAGTTCTAATTGTTAATAGAAAATTGTGTATGTATTTTGAGCAACAAATGATATACTGGACTCCCATGGTTCTTAGAAATGCTGATGTGTGATGCCCACAGTCCTGCAAACATCATGTTAAGATGGGGCTGACCTTCTTGGCATTTCCTGGTGTCCTGTTGTCACTGTCTGCCTGTGTCCCTGTTTCATCATGTGGGGAGGTGGGAGTAGGTTATGGAGCTTCTGTTAAAAAAATTAGAGAACTTTTAAAAATGCTGTATTTGCTTTAGACTTTCCAAAACACACTGAACTAGACAGGTACAGGAACTTACGAATGGGGGTGGGACATTAGTCAGTATGACGGAATAGGCTGCTGATGGAGAGGAACACATGAGTGGAAGAGGAGTTAATATATGAACCACGTACGTCGGGGGCAGGCATGTTGAGAACTACAAACTGTGAATGAAAACTTAAGAACTGAAGTACAAATCAGTCAATCAACCAAGTCTTCAAGAATTTCTCTGAGAACCTGTTCTTTCTGAGAAAAGAATGCTAAAGCAAATCACTGGAAACTTTCCTGACATTAACACTTACTCATTAATCAATACTGTTTCAGTATTGCTGCCCAGTGATCATTAACAGACAAATGAGCACACCGGCTTTAGGGACAATAGTCCGGAAGGGAAGAGCAGTCAACCATGTCACAAAAGTGGATAGAAATGCCCTCAGTAAAGTGGTGGTGTAGAATAGCCTCTTGAAATGAGAGAGGTATCTTCAAATATATAAAGGGATGCCTGGCCTCAGGAAACCTAAGCTTATTGTATGAGGTGCTAATGGGCTGAGCCAACCTCAGAGAAACATACCCTAGGTCTTGTGAACCAAAGACTAGCCCTAACTGAGCAGCAGAATTGGTTACAGCAGAGCCTAAGTGATCTCTTGGTACTGATACTGTCAGAACTCTAAGTGCCAGAGGGCAGTGAGTACAGAACCTCTGAGCCCAATGGGGTCGAGGTTGCTGCATCCAATTCAGAGATGCTAGATGGTTGCTCCCCAAATGTGCAACCCCTCACTCTTGCCTTAAGCCTTTGGTGACATTTTCCCCAGACTCTGCAATGACCGAGATTTTTAAAAACTAGGTATTAATAAAAAGACAGGAGTTTAAGTCATTTAGTTTTCACAACCATTCCCTCACGGTTATATCACTATGCTGTCAGTACTAAGAATACTCAGATGACTGAGAAAGACATCTTCAAGGAGCTCCAAAAGTGCCAGCCTGAGCAGGGGCTGAGGAAGGGTACAATTTCCTCTGCTCCCATGGCTTCCCATGCTGTTCCTAATTTTCTCCATCAACAATAACCCTGATTATTTAGTAGAGGAAAAGCAAAATTGTACATATAAATAAGCTCAAGGTGTTTAATTTCATTATGCACCCAGTCATAATGAATGCTCATTCATCAAATACTCACTGAGCACCAATTACATGCCAGGAGCTCTTCTAGTTTTAGGGAATAAAACACCAAGAATCCCTGCCCACGCTTTTATTACAGACATGTGCATCATGGGAAACATTTTCATTAATAATGAATGGTAAAGTCTGAATGCAAAACCATGATTTTAAAAATGTTCCAATGAATAGCATTATGCAGGCACTATTTAATTGTTATCCAGTATTAAAAATTTTATGGTTCAAACACTTAACAAAGTGAACAGGCAAAAAATAAGGTGAGCAATCAAAGTACCCAACCACATTTCACATTAGATCTACATTAAATACTCTTAGCGGTATTGGCAAAAAATCTGAGATTCATAAAGTTATACTGTTAGAATGGAAAAGCAAAGAAATGGTAAAAAAAAAAAATTATGTTATCTGTATTAATACTTCTGGTGAAATATGCATACCTCTGTTCTTTCCTCCCCCTAAAAAAATATTTGCCCAAAAAGCCATTAAAAAAGAGCCATAAGGATTTAAGAAAGGAAATAAAGATTTTTCTGTTAACATTACTATATTATTCTTCATGCCAAGACACTGAGAAAGGAGCAGAAGTGCTGGCTTTGTGACACACAACAAGGTATTTACTTCCCTATTGCCTCTCTTTCCTTGTCTCTGAAAGGGAGGTTTAAAAAAAAAAAAATCATACTAACTTCACAGGGCTAACGTGAGAATTAAATGAGCTAATACATGGGAAAGATTTAACACGCTTTAAAGCACTTAAGTGTTTGCTATCATTCCGGTTACTAAACTGAAGAGCAGTGCAGTAACAATGCATGTCAAAACCTTCACTGTAGAGATTCTCATCGGACCCACAATAAAGGATTCTGAACCCAGCACCTATACACTGTCCTCACTCTCAGTGTCACATGGTCTCCAGGCAGCACAGCAGCAGATCACACTGCTCTAGCTGGTGGCTACACTTCCCTCCTCACAGCGGAGTGAAAATGCCAGATTCTAAGTGTGCCTCCAGAACCCCCCAGCTTCGTAATTGCCGCCACTTTTTTTTTTTCTTTCCATTTTGACAGTATAGATTCTGTTCTGCTGTTTGGCAGAGATTGCCTGGCTTTGCACAGTGGAAAAAGCTATTACCAAGCCACTCCAGCCAAAACTTGTGATCTTATTCAGCAACAGGACTTCTCTGCCAAGAACAAGCTGAACAACTCCTTCCTTCATTCCCCTCATGTGTATCACACACAGTCTCAGACGCGGCTAAACCCAAAGTGGAAAGGGTTTGAAAATTAGCTGGGAAATGTTTGAAGCAAATCATTAACCCCTGTTTCAAGTATCCAGAGTATTCCTGCCCTGAATGTCAGAAGGAAAATGTCTAAACTTTATACTTGGAAGCAGCCATGGGGGAAAAGACAGAAGATGACCTGAATCTCATAGAGGAGAGAGTACCAAACCTGAACTCTTGACAAATGCACATTCATATTTTGGCCTTTGCAGAATTAATCAATGCCCACAATCTGTTTTGATAATCCCACCCAGTTGGGATAATCCCATAGTTGTCCTGACAACTATGAGATGCAAAAGAAGAAGAGGAAGAAAAAAAAGCCCCTGATATAAGCACAGATTTTGAATAGGTTTTTGAGGAATCCTGGGTTTTACCTTGAGCTTGCTACATTATCATGTTTCCCTGTGGTCAGCAACATACATCTCTAAAACATGTCACATGCACAGGGTCACAATCTAATTCTGGAGAAAAACATGTCTCTATATTAAGCCATCAGATTTACTTAGGAATCAAACATACACCCAGAACCCCACAAGTTACAAATATTCATCAATTGAATCCACAGGTGAGAAAGGGCTTTGCTAAGGAAAGCTCCATTCAAATTCTAATCAGTATCCAACTGGCTGCACTTAACGTTTCTTCAGGGAAGTGATAACCTCTTATTCATCTTTATAACACCACTATCTGAGAATCAAAGGAGATTTCTTTATTGGCTAAAGAAAAAAAAAACTTAATTAAAGCACAGCTCTCAGGCTAAGCAGCAGAGGGCTGGCTATCAGACTCAGTCCAGATTTCTTAAATGAATCACGTGTCAGGGTATAAAGAAATAAATTGTAGGGTTAGTGTAATTTTCAGGGACGGTAAACTAAATGATGTCTTACGGTTTTAAAGAAAAGTGTTTATCAAGTATCAGCATACTATTATGCTGAGTACACAAAGAACCCCAGAAAAGCCTACCACATCAATACATTTTAAAAACTAGATTTCATTATATAATGGACTGGACCTATAAAACAATCATATGAATGAAATCAAACACTCAAATTTTGAGTTATACTTTAGTTATTTTGTCCCAAATGAAAGGTAAAATAGATTATCTAAATAGCTTTCCTATAAATTACTAATCCTCACCTGAGGATATTTTTTCATTGAGTTTTATTTTTATTTTTTATTTATTTATTTAATTAATTAATTTATTTATTCATTTAGGGAGAGTGAAAGAGAGAAGGAAAGACAGAGAGAAACACTGATGTGAGAGAAACACATAGATTGGATGCCTCCTTCATGCAGCCAGACCAGAGCCTGGGCGGGGAGGAGCCTGCAGCCAAGGTACATGCCCGTGGCCAGAATCAAACCCAGGACCTTTCTGTCCACAGGCCAATGCTCTGTCCACTGAGCCTAACCAGCTAGGGCTTGTAAATTATTTGGAAACATGTTTGGGATATTTAAATCATAAATTTTAGTAATATGCTTACAGGATTCTTGGAAAAAATACAAAGTCTGACCTTTCATAAGACAATTTAAGATTAAAAATTTATACTCCAAGAAAGAAAGAAAATAGAAAAGGAGAAATTTACACTTCGAATTTTGAACTAATTTCAACGCATGTGCTACCAAACAATTATAAAATCTGACCATAAAATGTAGTATTTCTCATTTAGAAAATACTAAAAGTAAGCATTCCATGATATTTAAGACACAAGCAGTTAAACAACAAAATGTGATCTTTGTTTTAAAATTACTAGTTTTGCTTCACTCTATTTATACTGGGGCAACATGCATATATCCAAGCTTCATGTATAAATTCATGTGTAAACAACAGACTTACGGTATATGCTTTTTATTTTTTGCTGAACTGCTAACTGGATGTTTTACCCATAATCTTCACAAAGTACACCCAATGCTCACATGTTTATCCATTAAAAATTTGTTTCAGAAAATAGTAGAGTTAGAGTGACTTCTTAACTAATCTATCTCTGCAGTAAAACAAAAATGCGAGTTTTCAGGATCAAAATATGATCCTAATACCTGAGCGCTCAATTTCAACAAATATCTGCACTAATACTCAAACTGGAAAGGACTCCAAGATTTTTTAGAATATTAGATACACACTTCACCAAGTAATTCAATAAAAAGAACTGCAGCTATTAGCATTTTAGGACGCAAAATAGCTTGTTTATATAAAGAATAAAATCCAATAGTAAATATGTATTAACGTTTTGTTAGTTCTAAAGTATAAACAATAGTTTATAGCTAAAAAATTCATATCGACACATCAGACATTCATGGTTTAAATAAAGGGAGAGTACAGCTTTAAAATAGAATACTTTGAGGCTGTTGAATTTTGAACTTTTGTAGTGCAAGGGAAGTTATTCAACTAGAACTGATAAACAGAAGGACAACTATGGTGAAAACCTCCGTCTCTCCCCCCACCACGCTCCAAATCTGTCCATTACATGGTTAGAAACTGCTTTTGTATTTGCCTTTGAAGCATAGTTGTTCAAAGGGCTAACATGA